AACAATAGGATTGCTTCCTAATTTTGTATAGTTTATCCCTAAGAGTCGTACAATAATACTAAATAGGTTTCACGTTGGCAGAAAACATAGAATTAACACAATTAATGAGTAAACGTACGTAAGTAACAAAAAATACTGAATTTCGATCAAAAACCTGCTGTAACTCGATTCACAAAAATAGGATTGCTTTCAAATTTTGTATAGTTAATGCCTAAATATCATACAATAATACTAAATAGGTTTTACGTTGGCAGAAAAGTTATCATTTTTATTATTAAATGAATAATCAGACATGACTTACGATAAATTGAACGATTCGACGAAAAACCTGATGTAACTCTGATTACAACAATAGGATTGCTTCCTAATTTTTTACAGTTTATCCCTAAGAGGCGTACAATAATACTAAATAGGTTTTAGGTTGGCAGAAAACATAAAATTAGCACAATTCATGAGTAAACGTACGTAACTAACAAAAAATACTGAATTTCGATCAAAAACATGCTGTAACTCGATTCACAAAAATAGAATTGCTTTCAAATTTTGTATAGTTAATGCCTAAGTATCATACAATAATACCAAATTACTTTTGCGTTGGCAGAAAAGTTATCATTTTTATTATTAAATGAGCAATCAGACATGACTTACGATAAATTGACCGATTCGACGAAAAATCTGATGTAACTCTGTTCACAACAATAGGATTGCTTCCTAATTTTGTATAGTTTATGCCTACGTATCGTACAATAATACTAAATAGGTTTTACGTTGGCAGAAAAGTTATATTATTTATTATTAAATGAACAATGAGACACGACTTACGATAAATTGAACGATTCGACGAAAAATCTGATATAACTCTGTTCACAACAATAGGATTGCTTTCAAATTTTGTATAGTTAATGCCTAAGTATCATACAATAATACCAAATTACTTTTACGTTGGCAGAAAAGTTATAATTTTTATTATTAAATGAACAATCAGACATGACTTACGATAAATTGAACGATTCGACGAAAAATCTGATATAACTCTGTTCACAACAATAGGATTGCTTTCAAATTTTGTATAGTTAATGCCTAAGTATCATACAATAATACTAAATAGGTTTTACGTTGGCAGAAAACATAGAATTAACACAATTAATGAGTAAACGTACGTAAGTAACAAAAAATACTGAATTTCGATCAAACACCTGCTGTAACTCGATTCACAAAAATAGGATTGCTTTCAAATTTTGTATAGTTAATGCCTAAGTATCATACAATAATACTAAATTACTTTTACGTTGGCAGAAAAGTTATAATTTTTAGTAATAAATGAATTTGAGGGGCGTGCCATATACTACGCAGGCTATGTCCGTCGGCTAGCTCCGTCGGCTAGCTTCAGCTTCATTCTGCCTAGTTTGGCATCAGACGGCCGTGTGTGAGATGTGTGATATATATATAATGTGGTTAATCTGAAAGATGGCAGCCGCGTGCCTCATGCTCATTAACGGGTGAGTTGGGGCTGTTCATCTATGGACTGCTATTATTTGAAAAAGGGACTATCGTCAGATAATTCAATTTACTCTGACACTACTGAAATTCGAAAATATCTCTAATTAATATAAATGATGTTTAGTGCCCCACAGACAAAACTATTCGGCAAACATTGCGCCGTCCTATTATTCAGTGTGAATGTACCGTGTAAAGGCAATTGGGTGCTCAGTTAGAAACGTCAGTCAAGCATTCACGTTTAACGCATTAAGACACACTCCGCTGAGAAGAACGCACATGTAAATGTTGGAATAGTCTATAAAGCATCGTAGTGTGCATTAAACAAACTGAAATTTTCGAAAAGGCTTAGCTATGGGAGTTGGATGCCGACGCGTGATAACTAACACCGCGCGCAACAACCTGCAAAACTTCTCAAATTCGTGTTCCCTATTTGAAATGTAGTGTGTTCTGAAATATGCAACTGCAGTGCTATTTTCTAAGGAAACAGCATTGCGTACGCCTTCGTTTGGAATTCGACGCTACAGCGTCGAATCTCCAACTAAGTTTGAAGTTCTACGCTGTGGCAGCGCTGTAGGCAAGGCTGTTTCCTTAGAGAATAGCACTGCTGTACATGGGGCAAACGAATAGACGGGTCAACGATGGTAAGTGAATACCGCTACTTGCCACAATTTGAGGCCCTAGAATTAAGAGGCGGCAGGAGGGTTGGGACCATGGTAATCTCAATTAGTGAAAAAAGACGAAAGAACTGCTTTACATCAGTTTTCTGTGAGGTCTTACTTCACGGTATCACTTCTTTTCTTGAAGTTTAAATCTGTATCTCTCTATTATATATTTATTATAAAGTAGCTTTTTCCCGCGGCTCCGATCGCTTTTATGTCGGTTATTGCGGTAAATACTGAATCAAACTATCTCCATACCAAATTTCATTTATATCAGTTTTGTGATTATTGATTCATTCATACAAACTTCCACCCCCCTTTTTACCCCCTTAAAGCATTAATTTTATGATATAAAAATCCTACTACTAACCTAACCTATGTCCTTTCCCACGACGCAAGCTAGCTCTATATCAAATTTCATCTAAATCAGTTCAGCAGTTAAAGCATGAAGAGGTAACCGACCGACAGACTGATGGACAGACACACTTTCGCATTTAGTAAGGATTAGTACGGATTTTTATCCCAGATAGATTGAGTTGCAATATTTGTTATTAGGATTCAATTAATATTATGAGGCATCTTTCTATTAGCATTGAATCACTCTGTTGAAGAGCCGGGCTATTGTCAATAGTATTATGGCACTGATGACACACTAACATAGCTTATGACAAACATTTATAGAGCATAAAGCTTTCATTGTTTAAGTCTTATGAGTCTGTAAGCATTTAGGTGTACCATTAGTCATACCTACTAGGCTGCCTACATTTTTTTTTATTTCCTATTCAAAGCGTAAACAAATTTATAAGAGAAATTTGATATACATAGCATTTCCTAAGGTTTATAATGAATTCTAAGCGTTAGTCTATATCGAAACAAAACATAAAAAAAAAATTATAACATAAATTAAGAACTGAATAAGAAATGGCACTTGGCTATGGAAATAATAGTCTTGGTATGTATCTGGCAGTCCATAGCAGTATCATGGTAACCTACAGTCAAATTTTTCTTTTTAATAAGTAATACTAGCATCATTATGTCACTAGTCTATTCCTGTTAAGAAAATAGTGACGGATCAATCAACCCCCACTCCCTGACCAATCAGGTTCCATACATATGTTATGATAATTTCTTAGAACCTGGTTGGCAGGGATTGCTTGATGCGGACTATAGTGTTACTATTTTCTTAACACAAATGGACTTTTTTTACGGTATAAGGGAGCTGTGAACCAGACGGATCACCTTATTTAAAGTAAGCAACATGTGTACTGTTGGCAATGCGTTGTCAGCCTTTTGCTCATTTTGGAATTGGTTTAAATAAGAAAATACTGGATTGCTAATCCATCCTATGCTATATCTGCTAAATTTTCACATTTTTGGAAATTAGCCAGATATACATATTCAAAGAGTATTAACTGTATTTAGTAAGATGCTTCTGAATATGCAACAGTATGTATTCAGACAAATTTGTTTTTATTATGTATTATATATATTAATAGTAGTATTTTGTACATAAGTATTGGTATCTTATGAGAAATCTCAAATAACCTTCCATAAAGACCAGTGAGGTTGTCATCCTTAACTGGTAGCCTGTTGATTGCTGTTCCAGAAGTGAGGTGATGAACTATTTCGATTGGCATAGCCAGACTACACATTTTTTTGTATGATATTCTGTAATTCCTACCTAGTTATGTACAAATATTATACATGTATTTTGGAATTACATTTTTTTTAAATTTATTTAGTGTTATAATAAACAAAAATTTTAAGTTTTTGAATTTTTGTTTTTATTAATATTGGTAAGTAGTAACATTACAATTCAAATTCATAACAAACAACCTTTTTTTTATTTAATAATTACAAGCACATTATTGTCAATAGTCCACATTTCCAGACCTTCAAGGTTAATGCTCCAATTACTATAGTAATCCTCCTTACAGATATTATTATACTATCAATTCAAAGACTCTGGTGTTAATTTATAACTTCAGAACTATTCAAAAATCAGTTTTCTAGTTTATATTACAAAATAGTCAGTAGTAATCAGTTTTATTTTATAATATCGTATTATTTAGACAAATTTAAGTATAAAGAGATATATAAAGATTATAAGGAGATTCCACTTCCATGAATTATTTAACTACAGTTGGAATTACTAAGTAGAGCATAATGTTATAGATCATAAACTAAGTTGTATAAATTAACACCCAGAGAAATTATGTATAATTAATTTTTTTAAGTCAATAACTCAATTTCTCTTTGTGTTTAACAGTTATTGTTTAAAGATTTAACAAATGTTATAAAGTTGTATTCTAGAACTGAGCATTAAATAACATTGAGTAACCAGTTCGCAACTTTTTTTTCTAATAAAGCGCACAACATATATGTATAAAAGTAGTTTGCATCAATTATAAAGTTAAACTTAGAATCTGTCATTTCTATAGATCAAACAACTCTCTACATTGGAATGTATTTTTTTTTAATTTCTTTCTCTGTAATATCTGCATTTAACTCATTTCTCACATAAAACCTTCTTTTAGAAGAATATTATCTGTAACGTTATTGATGTCATGTGCGAATACAATTTGAATTAGCGCAAGAAAATTTAAAAACTAAACCTATACTATTAGTGTTTTCATTGCTACAAATTAAAAAAGTAAACACTCAAGGTGAGAGGGAGCGGCGCGTGCGTATGCCAGCGATTTCCACTACGGCAATGAACTACTTACCCCAGTCCTTGAGTGCAGCAAAGTCCTTGAATCCCGGCCTCTCGGTATAATACTTTCAAGGGCATTACTTATTTCCCTTGCATGTATATCAACTTGTGAAGGATAGCACCCTTACCTCCAGGGTCCGGATCTCTTGCTGCGTCAGCTCGGCACTTGTCGAGCATTGTGTCCTCAGGCCCTCGAGTCTATCAGCTGAAACGTCGATCATGGACTGAATAGTCTCTATCGTTTGAATTGCATCACGAACTTTCTTTCTTTCGTACTCGTTCTCTGCATCCATTACAAATATCACAGCACTGTACACGGTCCGCTAATCACTATACATAGGTAAAAAACACTTTATTCATTTTATAAAAATGAATTTACAAAACATTGCAGATGTTGTATTGCCGATACAGCGGCCATATCCGAGGAAAATCTATATTTTTGTCTATGTTCAGGAAGCCATAGAGAATAGATCGAAATTTGACAGTTGTCACAAAAATGAAATGTCACTTTGGCATGCAATCTAATTACTTTCTTCCACCTTCAATATTTTTTGACTACCTATTTATTTTTAATTTGTCTTTTTTTTTCATTTTTAAACCCGTCGGAATAATTTTAAATAAAATTGGTATCAATAGGATAGAGCAAAGTTAAATAAGAACAAAATAGTCTATGGTATTGTAAGGCATCGTGTCTACTCTGGGGACAACCATACTCTTGTAATTAAATCATACTCAATCTTATAAAGAAAATTGTATTATTATAGAAATCAAAATAAGATTATAATAACAACCTGATTGTGACATTGTACATCAATAGAAGGCATTCGCATTAACTTCGTCTCACATTAATAACGAACTGTACCATGAGTGAACAGCAAGATTAATCCTTAGAGTTGGTATTTTTTCGCATATAGCAATACTTCTACAAATTTGATGTAAAGTTAGCGATATGTATATAGCAACATAATTTTAGATGAAATAAAATTAGTCTATGCCTTTTATCAATGGAGTGAAGACGTTAGTCGAGGGATTTGTTTCCTATTATTTCGCCTTCCGTCGTTTAATTAATTCTGTGTAATGTAAAATAAATAGATAGACAATAAATCTTTTTTACTTTACAACAAGTATAGTTCGAGAATATTTTTTAAGTGTCTAAATGTAGTTTTAGTATAATGTTTTTCGAACGTATATTGTTGTCTGTGTTCTACCTTGGAATAGAAGGTAAATAAATAGCATAATATAGCAGACGATTATAAAGAAACATTTTTCTAACATTATAAATAATAATAAAAAAAATGTTTAAAGAAGTTCTTTTATTTGTAGCATTTTCACTTGCTCTAGCCGAGGAGGTGGAAATTCGGGATGTAGGTGCAGACAAGGGTACAAATGTAACGATACCCTGTGGTGATTTAGCTACCTTAACTGCACCCAACGTGCAGTGGGTGCACAGAGGCAATAAGACACACCATGAAGTATTGGTAAGTCCTAGTTTTAACTACTAACAGCTGAGAACCTCTAACCAAATACAAAAAAGTGCACCTTACTATTTAAAAAAAAAGAATTATGTAATAATAAAATTAGTGATTTAAAATTTAATTTAATCTTTGTCCAACTTAACCTCGACAAAATTTTATTCTACTTGGTTTTACGATGTCCTTTCTATACGAAAAAAAAAACGAATAAAAAAAGTCTTGGCTGTTTTATAACTTTGATTTAAAACAATATGACATTTACGTTATTGTAAACTACGTAATAAATATTGTTGATGTTGACAGACTTTGTTTATTTGCTTATTGATGCATAATTGTTTAAATATGGCAGTTTTTTTTACGATGACTTAAAAGTAGATGTATTATGACTATTGATCTATTGTTTTGTTACATATAATTAATTAACAATACGTAACGCGCGAAATTGATACTAAGATTCGAGGTTGTCTACCTATGGTCCTTACGTTCGATCAGGCTTACAATATTCAGTTCTGTTTTTGAGTAAAACAACAAGTATAAACTAACTAACTAAAATACTTAAATAAATGAAAATACTTAAAAACACTTTCGACGATTTGAAAAGAGCAGTCTTTAATCTTAAGTGATCTGAAAAAAAACTACATATTTTCTTCTATATGACACTCTTTGGATAAACTTTCAAAAACGAGCCATCCGTTTAGGAGCTGTAATGGTACAGACCAACACACATGCCATTCACATCGTCTCTGTATTGACGTATCGTATACTAAAAAGGTTTTTGTATGCACAAAACTCAAACAATAATTCTTCGAACGTGAAGTAGGTTTTGCTGTCAGACCACCACCACCACAATTAACTGGGATGGCTGTTTGGGATTTGTCCACAATACATCAGTCTGGTCAAAATACCAGCGATAGCTGGATTATACTCGCGAAAAAACCCATCATTGTAGTTTTTTAGAAAGGCAGGTTCAGCAGTTGACATCATTACGTTAAAATGACAATGGCCATTCTGAATGAGGAATAACCTTGTTGTTTTTGTGGACGAGGTGGAAAATTCCTTCGGATATCCGACTCCTCGCGGACATAAGGAGCCAGGAGTATGTGGTATTAGGGACTAATCCCACCCACACGCCCACCACTGTAACTCCTGTACACCAGGATCTACAGCAGTGACCCACGAACACACCGAGTTATGACACTCGGGAAGTCCCAGGAAGGAATTAAACTGTCTTGGAACCCGCAACCCGCGAAAAAGTATGTGGTATGTGGGTTTGCCACTAAAAACACCTCGACAGCCAGTCTCACGATGTAGCTACATAATTAATTAATATTATGTTTATTATCATTACCTTAATAAATAAATAGGACCGTATCTTAAACCCTTCTATATAGAACGACTATCTGACCCGCGCAATTTCGTCTGCGTCTTTCCATACGAATCAATGTACCCCGCTTTTGCAACATTTATCATTGATGCTCGGCTCCCGGCCTTCCTCGATAAATTGGCTATTCAATACTAAAAATATTTTTTCAATTCAAGCCAGTAGTTCCTGAGATTAGCGCGTTCATCCAAACAAACAAACTCTTTAACTTTATAATATTAATATTTGTATGTTCTCGTAATCCTTTTCAAATTTTATTTCATCCTTTTTAGCCATCTTAGACAGGATCTAGAAAACTATGGAGCGTTTCATTACTTACTTCTTTGTTCCTCTAACAACAAACTGGTTGCCGAGAGGTTGGTTTGTTGTTTCCAAGTCCTTGTTTATATACTACTAGTTTTTGCCGCGTGTATGTCTGTTATCGTGTTAAAAAGCAGTCTATAACGCTCGGGATAATATACCTTTCTAATAGTGATAGATTTTTCAAATTCGGATCAGTAGTACCGGAGATTACCCCGAACATAAAAACTCACAAACTTTATATATTAGTATGGATAAGAAACCTTTCCGCCAATTTTTTTTTTACAAAATTTTATTTCTGAGGATCTGCAGGACCATTTTTTCTGTTAAGGTTTTTTTTTTAATTATGATTTTATAACCTGTTCTGTTCTCTAGACGAATGTGAATAAAATATAGTATTGCATTTACTTTAACAAGAAAAGGGTCTCGCGATCTCGTTCATTACCAAGTTGACGCTTAATTTTTAAGCACGTGCTCTGCTACCAACGTCATTATACATAATTACGTATACATTTGTATAGTACGCATTGTATTGTCTGGCAAACAAGAAGATAACCTGTTTTACTAATACAAGCACCTGTGCATACTGTACCTGTGAAATGTATTCGTATTATGCGAACGTGCTTTAATTTTAAGTCGCGGTTCTACTCGTGGGAAACGTACATTGAAGAACCGTTTTCATTAGATGACATTTGTGTTGTACGCTTGCCATCGTCATAAAATATTCATCGTCCACTGTTGCTGCATATATTAGCAAAGGCCTATCATCATCATCAACAGCCTTTAACAGTCCACTGCTGGACATAGGCCTTTCCTTAGAAAGGAGGTTTTGGCCTACTATACCTACCATATTGTATAGTATGGGGTTTATGTCAAGTTTTCCTTGTCTTTGCAGTTTTGTTGTCCTGAATAGTTTGCTCCCTTAGTCGGCTCTTACGACACCCACGGGATGAATGGGGGTGGTGTCACCACGGCCTATGTCGTTTCCTAATGTACGCAAGCTCAATCGCCAACTCCTCAGTTCACGCAGATTGTTACTCTATCTGCTCGCAAGGCAGACGCGACCTCCGTTCCTGAACTCTTCTAACCAGGTTATAGGTTCTTCGAGCAATGTAACCAGACCAGTGCCAATTCAACTTCGTACTTACATCAACTGTACATGATTGAAACTATGATGATGATTGATATTGATTCAAAATATATGACTTCCTTTGGCGTTACACGTAAAGTCGCCGAACCTCGCCTGCGACTTTTAGGGATCAACGGACATGTAAAAATTCGACCATCATTGAGTGTCGACACAGGCGATTTTCTTGTCCTGTGGCAATCGCCCGACAGCTATCGATTCCTCAACTGCATGAGATCAACATCACGTTTTATTATCTTGAACCTATTTTATTATTTCCTAGAAGTACAACATCTATTAGTATTGTTCAACAATATTTGCTCGACTCTGTGTAATCATAGCCAATTTAGACAATTACGCGGCTTTTATTAAAAAAAAAAACAAAACTCAGTATCTTTTTGTGTTACAATATGAATAAAGGCCCTGCTATGTTTCTATATTAGTATGTGGGCCAGCGATGTTAGATTACGGGGGCGGCAGCGTAATTAAATGTTCGTGAAGACGAAGTTAGGTCAGAATTAATTTGCATAAAACGTGTGGGACCATAAGTTACTTCAAAGTAAAAAAGCACTAGGAGCTTCCATATTTTGCAACAACATAATCTAGTAATAAACATAATACATACATATATAAAAAATACATACATAGGTCGCGCAATGATAATATGTTATTTGAGTCTCAGAGTTTATTGAATGATTATAGATTTATATGATCATTCTAAATCGAGAAGATATTCGATACTTTATTAACGCAAAAAATATTTAATTATTTTTATTAAAATCAAAATAAAAACAAAGATTGTTTTTATCAATTTTTCGCGTCAGTTCTGGGCCTCAATTCTGCTATTTTATGTTAAAATAGCAGAATTGAGGCCCTGTTCTTTATTTCTCATCAATGCATCCACAATTTGCCACAGAGAAGCGTGCTACATGTAGTCCTTCATAAATTTAGTACAACACCCGAATTGCAACTTTACTAAACTCTGAAAGATCTGAATAATATTGGGAGGCTCAA